GTCCAGGCGGGTCTCGAACCTGCAGGCTCAGGCAATCCACTCACCTCAGCCTCCCAAAGGCGTGGGATTACAGGTTGAGCCACCAAGCCAGGCTCACATTTAAGTCTTTAGTCCATCTTGATTTAATTTTTGGAAAACAGAAAGTAAAATTATCTCTCTTCACAGATGATATGATTCTACATCAAGAAAATCCTAAAGATTTCATCAAAATACTCCTAGACCTGATACACGGCTTCAGTAAAGTCTCAGGATATAAAATCAGCATTCAAAAACCAGAAGCATTTTTATACACCAATAAAGTTGGTGAGACCCAGACCAAGAACACAATCTCATTTACAATGGCCACAAAAAAATAAAATACATAGGATAATATTTAACCAAGGAGGTGAAACAACTCTACAGTGAGAACTACAAGACACTGCTGAAGGAAATCAAAGATAACGCAATTAGAAAAAAATGGTTATGGACTGGAAGAATCAATATTGTTAAATGTCCATACTGCCCAAGGCAATCTACAGATTTAACATAATTCCCATCAAAGCACAACATCATTTTTCACAGAATTAGAAAAAAAATTTTAATTCATACAAAAGTTTTTTAAAAAGCCAAAACAGCTAAAACAATCCTATACAAAAAGAACAAATCTAGAGGCATCACATTTGTGGACTTCAGACTTTACTACAAGGCTGCAGTAACCAAAACAGCATGGTACCGATACAAAAAGAGACACATAGACAAATGGAACAGACTAGAGAACCCAGAAATGAAGCTGCTCACCTAAAACCAACTGATCTTCATCAATGTTAACAAGAATAAACACTTCCCAGCACAATAAATGGTGCTGGGAAAACTAACTATATGCAGAGGAATGAAGCTGAACCCCTACTTCTCTTTATTTATTCACCTATTTATGTGTTTACTTATTTATATAAGTATATACTCATAAATTCCTATTTTATATCACTATTTTACTTTATTCTGGTGCTCAGATTATCTGAAAATTTGACCTATAAATACCATTCAAGTTCTTTAAGTGTTTTTCAATTTATAAATTATAGAGGTATATATTTTTTTAAATCTAATTCTAGGCCAGGTGCAGTGGTTCATGCCTGTAATTCCAGCACTTCAGGAGGCTGAGGCAGGAAAAGTGCTTGAGCCCAGGAGTTTGAGACCAGCCTGGACAGCATAGCAAAACCTCACCTCTATAAAACACACACACACACACACACAAACACACATAATTAGCTGGGCATGGTGACACACACCTAGAGTCCCTACTACTCGGGATGCTGATGAAGGTGGATCATGTCAGCCCAGGAGCTTGAGGCTGTGATGAGCCCTGATCATGCCACTACATTCCAGTCTGGAGGACAGAGTAAAAGCCTGACTCAAAAAAAAAAAAAATACGGAAGGCTGAGGCGGAAGGATCGCCAGAGCCCAACAGGTCGAGGCTGCGGTGGCCGGGAGCGGCCACTGCACTCCAGTCTGGGTGACAGAATGAGACTCCAACTCAAAAAAAAAAAAAAAAAAATCTAATTCTACATTCATACATGATTCGATATAGATAGAATATTTTGTTATAGTCCAGAGTTACTGATTCTCCATGGAGTTCTAATTTCACGCTTCCCAGTACTGCTGAAATTCTTTAGGTTTTTGTCTAAGAGACCACAGTAACTTTTCTTTTAAATTCTGAGTTTTCCCCATCTCCCTGTATTTTTACCCAAGACAACATTTTTCTGTGTTGTAGGGTAGTGTATCAGATGAAATTAGATCTAACCATAAGTGATTTAAAACCTAAAGTAATACTGCCTTTAACAAGATAGAAATGTATGTTTCCCTCTCACTTAAAAACAATTCAGAAGCAAAGGTCTAAGTCTGCTAAATTGACTTTGCTGAATATGATCCTCTGAAATTCAAGCATTTGATAGCTCATGAGACAGCGACCATCACTGTGTTGTCCAAGTCAACAACTTTGCTGGAAAGAGAAAGAAACCAAACAGTAAAAGCAAAGATGACATACCAACAACTACTGTTGAAGGAAGTTTCTGGAGAATGACACTTCATTATCCTTGCACATATGCCCCATTGGCCAAAGTGTAGGAGCTTTTCTTTATGGAAGGCTACTGAATACAGAGAAGACATTTCATTTTTAGCACCAGTTAACATTGAATTCTGATGGAATAAAAAGATCACCTTTTTTTTTTTTGCAAGAAAAGAGGGTACTACTGAAAAATACCAACATCAATTTAAGGTAGCTATTGTGTGAGGGTGAGAATAATCTGTTTAGCTTGATTGATTTAATCTTTTGCACAACTCCATGCATGTGTTGATCTCTTTGCAAAATTGCATAATAAAAAAATGCATATAAATTGACACCTCTTACAGCATCATTATAATTTAAAACATTGAGATATGTTTTTGAAAAGTAGTCTAGGGCACTGTTTACATCCATGGGCACTTTCATTGATTAAAATGCATGTGTACTGGCATAAAGTATTAATATTAACATAAGATTTAAGCCGAATGATATGAGCAACTCAAGTAAATAAAAGGGAAGAAATTTCAATCCTTCTTTCCTTTCAAGACTTCTGTATGAGGGGATAAGGACACTGTTAATATTTGGATATAACTTGAAGAAAAATTAATTAGCAGATCTATATCAAACAAGGCACTGTAATTCATGAAAATAACCAACCCAGCGCTAAGTGTTGAACTTCATGAAGTGTGGGCAAACATGTTTCACCAGTTAACCTTCACAACACAGAAAGATAGATTCAGGAGTCTCTATTTAAGCAAAGCCCAAAATGTACATGTATTAACTACTGGCAGTGTACTGAATCCAGATTTTCTAATTTTATATCCTGTTTCTTTTCTACTACACCAATGTTTATCTAACATTTTGCCATTACCTATCATAGGCAACATAGTTTATAGCATAATCTAGGTCATGCAAACACACATATACTCACACTTTTAATAGCAACAAACAAAATAATAAAATAGCATATAATTGTTAAAATTTATGATAGATTACAACTTACAGCATGAAAAAGCACTCACATACGTTATATAGTGTATATAAGCACTGATGCCTTAATGACCTGTTATCACTAGGTGATGCAATGAAATGTCTCTTCTGTTTCACAAGTGGTGAATATGTTTCAAGGGATTATTTGGTTTCAACTGCATGTTTTCTTCTATGGCAAAAGTTTTATTTTGGCAATAGTCATTCCAGGACTTGAAGAGAAAGACTAAGAAATACCATTATGTGCTGTTACTATGCAAATCAGACTTGTCCACGTGGAGCTCAATAAACTCTAAACTCACTTAAATCAATTCGTAAATCTAAGCAGAAGTGACCAAGGCCAGCAGATTATAGGTGAAAGAAATGAATATATAGGGTAAATCAGCTTTGTTTGTCCTTGGGCATTCTTTAAAATTATTATTTCTTCATTTGATTAATTTTTCTAATATAAAATTAACTGTAACTTTCCCTTTACCTCATCATTATTCTATAAAAATTTGATATATTGCATTTTGTAGTAAGATAGAGATCTATCAGTCTTTTTTAGGGGCATTAGATAAATAAATATTTGCATTTAGACTAATAATTTGTCATACTTATAAGTACTAAATCACTTCAGTGGAGTTACATCACAGAGAAAATACCTTCATAACTCATTTATTTTATTTAACTGAAAGAATGAACTATCGGAGAAATTCAAAACTAAAATAAGTCTTCACTTTCACTTATATCCACCAACAAGAGCAACAACTGTCATGTAGCTGTGCAATTCAAGTGTTCCAAAAATCTTCATTCTCTCTGATACTCCCTGTTTGAAATGCCTCTCTACATACTGGTGCTTGTTGCTTATGTTTGCACACTGGTTGGCAACATCTCTATTAATGTGGTATTCAGCAAGTATTCCTGAGGGCAACCAAATGCATCCGATTAGCTGTGATGTACTTGGATTATTACATTGCTATCTGCAAGCCCTTGAAGTACCCAACTGTCATGCATTGGCAACTATATATCCTTCTAATGGTCATGGCATGGCTAAGTGGTTTGGCTAACTCCTTCTTTCAGTCAACCCTCACCAACCAGCTGCCACTTTGTGATAACAAAGTAGATGACTTTCTATGTGAGGTCCCAGTAGTGATCAAGACGTCATGTGTTGACACCACATTCAATGTAGCTATGCTCTCCATTAAGGAGACGTTGTATTCCCTGGTTGTTTTATCACTTATCTTTGTTTCCCATGAGTTCACTGTAGCTACTGTGTTCAAAATTCAGTCCCCAGAGAGAAAGAAGGTGGGTTTTAGCATGTATGGTTTTCATGTTATTGCTGTATCTCTATTTTATGGGCCAGTAATTAACTATGTACAACACTCTACTACTCACTCCCAGGACATGGACAAATTCATGTCCCTGTTCGTTGGTTTAGTGACTCCTTTAATCTACACTTTGAGAAACAAAGACATGAAAAGCACAATAAGATGGTTTCTTGTCTCGTTGTACAACCAGGAAGAGAACAAACATATCTGTTTCTATACTCCACATTATTTATATACAGCTCAAAAACACCTCCTAAGTTTACCTTTGATTTAATCTCCTTCAAAAGTTTTAGCACTTTTTACTATTTTTGGATATCATTTCAAGTGTGAATCCTAAATCTCAGTCTGTCTACAATTTGCATGATAGTAAGGATATGTCATTAAGTTCCTTTACAGTCATCAAGAGATTCTACTGCAAGAATCTAAAGAGTGGGCAATAAATATGTGCTTATTGACTAACTTATTCAATCAGAGAAAAAAATCAAACCCTGTCATTTTATGTGTTATTTTAAATATACATATATAAGTAATATAAACTACAGTTTACTTTCTTGCTATCATGGATATAATTTAGAGGTTAGTCTTTCATTTGCAGATCAGCTCTTTTGATGAATTACCAGCAAGATCAAATGGGTTAATATCTCATATTCTTTAACTGACCCTTTCAACCACACATTCAGTGAATTCAGTGATCCTTTATAAATAATTCAAAAAATAATATCTAACTCTTTATTTCCTGTAGATCCTAATGGAATTTCTTCCTTTTGAATTATTTGACTGAAGTAAGTATTTCTGTGTTCACAAATAGAAAAGTTAAAACTTTGAAAAATTTCTGTCATCTCCTAATACTCATATTGAGAATCACTCAGGCTTCAATGGAAAAATAACTTGCCTAGAATGAGAAAATTAGATTTATTTAGTAGGTAACCAAAGGATTAAATAGTCCAATCACTTAGAATCAAAGTATTAAGGAGTGAGCAAAAGGAAACTGGAGAAAGAAAGTAGAGAATAGCCTGAGGAAAAACATAAAATAAATTGGCTATCAGGCTATCAATTTTGAGATAAAAGTGACAAAGTAGAAAGTTTGATAATAATGTGAGATGGGAATTTCCGTTCATTTTATTAATAATGTTGATTCTTCTCATTATAAATCTGCCATTTTTTTATACTTCTCTGCTTCCCATCCTTCCAAAACTCCCATCTTTCAACTTGTGTTTAAGGAAAATATCTGTTTTTCTAACAACTAAGTACATTCATGTAAGGTCTTCATACATCTGCCCATTCTTTATATATTTTCACATCTTCTAATTGACAAGAACAAGTTTATTGACTCGGTGTAAAAACCTCTGACACAAAGATACATTTATTGTCATCAATAATTAATCAGTTGTAATAAATTGGTTCACTCTTCAATTTGTGGTCTGTGGATTGCAACAAAATTTCCTATGTAGACTGTAGGAAAGGGAAGATATTGTAGTTTTGTTCTTGTTGGAGACATGGAAGCATCACTCTTTTGGAAGAAAGCTGATACCCTGCCATAGCTGCCTCTCTATTAAGGACTAGGCCTTCTGATTTCACTATGAACCCTGCCTTCACAGTACTAACCTGTATTGAGAATAAGCTTTCAATAAAGATTTTTTAAGTAAAGGAATGAATAAGAAGTGTTACCTGCCATCTTAATTATCTACTGTTAAAACCTGTATAACAGAATCATGGAAAAAAAAAAAAAGAAGAAAACAATGAGTGTTGCAAAGAGGTTAATAGCTGATTTTTAAGCAATGTTTCTCAAACTCTCTTCTGATACTGTTTCAGTAACTCTTAATAGCAGTAACTTTTTTCTTTCTTTCTTTTTTTTTTTTTTTTTTCCTGAACAGAAGTCTCACTCTCTCATCAAGGTTGGAGTGCAGTGACATGCTCACAGCCACTGCAGTCTCCACCGGGCTCAGGCAATCCTTCTGTCTCAGTCTCCCAAGTAGCTGGAATTGCAGGCACATGCCACCATACCTGGTTAATTTTTTTACTTATTATAGAGATGATGTCTCACCAAGTTGCCTAGGCTGGTCTTGAGCCCTTGGGCTCAGGCAATCCTCTCCCCTCCGCATCCCAAAGTGCTGGGATTACAGGAGTGAGCCACCACACCAGGCCAATAGCAGTAACTTTTTAAAAACTAATTGACATTCAAAGAAATTTGGGGTAAATCATAGATTATTCTTGGAGTTTTGGAAAGTAAATTAGCATATTAAATGTTTGGTGACACCCCACACACACACACCACCAAAGTAGACTGTTAAACCATGTTTAACACGTTTTCCAAATGCTTTGTTGTATAATTTTGTTGACTTCTTTTTGAAAAAAAATATATAACAACATGGTTTGGGGAAAAACTCATTAGAAGACACTAAATTCCAGAATCGGAACAGAGAAAATAGATGGGCTGAAGGGAGCAGAAAATCCCATTTTTACTCAGGATGAATAACAGGCACCTATCAAAGGTCTGTGGGGTACTGAGAGAAAACTGCTCATAATAAACTCATTCTGTGCCAGGCTCCGTGGCTCAGCCTGTAATCCCGCGCTTTGGGAGGCCGAGGTGAGTGAATTGCCTGAGCCCGCGAGTTCGAGACCCACCTGGCCAACTTGGCGATACCTCATCTCTACAATAAATCAAAAAATCAGCCAGGTGTGGTAGTGCATGCCTGTAATTCCGGCTACTTGGAAGGCTGAGGCGGAAGGATCGCCGGAGCCCAGCGGGTCGAGGCTGCGGTGGCCCAGGGTGGCCACTGCACTCCAGTCTAGGCAACAGAGTGAGACTGCAACTCAAAAAACATATATAAAAAATAAAAATAAACTCATACTGCTTCATAGGTATCTGAAATATCAGTAATATTTAATCTTTAGAATATAATTTTTGCAGTCAATTATTTTATTTACAATTTTAAGTCAGTATTCACTGAACTAACCATTTCATCTTAATTATGGTGTAATAACAACTACCACATAGGAAATGATAACTTAGTTATTACACCTTTAACAGAATAAAGAGAAATATTGCCTTTTTCTGAATATATTTTCTCCTTACAATGTAACTCCTTAATATTTACCTATCATGATCAGTAAAAATAAATGCATGGTGCATAATTTTGGACAAAATTTACAAAAATATTAAAATCCAAATCTATATAAAAAATTGTTTCTCAGCAAAGATATTAAAAGACATTTATAAAATATGTGCTTAAAAAACATCTCCATGTGTCAAGCTTTCCCCAACAAATCTGTACCTGGTCTGGCTTGCTCTACTTTTTGTTCAGCCATCATACACATCAGAATCCTTTTCAAGTTTTTAAAAATCACAAACTTATAGAGCAACATCAGCAAGATGGTCAAATAGAAGCTCCTAGCACACTCCCCCACCCCCAAAAACAACAACAAAAACAACAAAACAACAAAGAAACAGGTACATTTTGGCCAAAATAACTAAAGGAGTGCACCAGAGAACAGCAAAGCAGCAACATAACTTCTATAGAGCACAGAAACCCAGAATGGCCACATAGAGAAAGAAAGGAAATATATTGCCTTCACCACCCCAATCCCCCTACTCAGGATTAGCTCAAAACCAGCAGAGTCTTCTCCCTGTATGGAAAAGGTGAGTAAGGAGAACCCAAGCTTCCATTACCACTGTGGAAACCTGCAGTGTTCGTTACTGGAGACTCCTGCATAGGCTCTGAGCCCAGCTGAGAAGGCTCCCCAGAGTCCATACTTTGAGCTACCCCCAAAGAAGGAGCCCACTGTGCCCTCCTGCTCACCATGGCCCATGTTGCTACTGCTGTGCACCATCTTGGAACCAAAACCACTACTAAAGTGCATCCTGCTCCAGGGAAAGTAGCCATTACATTTCTCCATCCCTGAGGCAAAGCAACCTCTGCACCATGCCCTCCCAGTAACATGCCATCTCCAAACAGAGTAGCTGTCATGCCCTACCACCTAGGGTCAACCTACTACAGAACTATTCAATTTCCCCATCCTGGTTGCTGGTGCATCCTCTCCTTAGGACCAAGCAGAAGTAGTGCCCCACCCCTGGGGACTTGGAGCTAATAACTTTATTTTGTTTGTTTGTTTGTTTGTTTGTTTGTTTGTTTATTTGAGTTGGAGTCTCACTCTGTCGCTCAGGCTGGAGTGCGATGGCACGCTCACGGCCACCGCAGCCTCGACCTGCTCAGCTTAGCGATCCTTTCACCTCAGTCTTCCAAGTAGCTGGAACTACAGTCGCATGCCACCACACCTGGCTAATTTTTGTGATTTATTGTAGAGACGAGATCTCATCAAGTTGCCCAGGCTGGTCTCAAACCCCCAGGCTCAGGCAATTCTCCCGCCTCAGCCTCCCAAAGTGCTGGGATTACAGACTGAGCCACCACGCCAGACCAATAACTTCATTTTAAATGGCTTTCATAAGTAAATGGCTAAAGCAAGCTAGGGTAAAAATGGGTACTTTTTTTTTAAATGGGAAAACATGTCTTGACTTAGTCAACAGTATTTAGAAAGACTTTAAGTCTAAGAAGCGTACCTGCTTCAGAATCTGAGTATAATCATTTCTGCATAAACCAATGAGAATGTATTTAAAAATTAATTCCAGAATCCAGATGATTTCCCTGTAGTTTCTCCTGAGAAACAAATCCATTTTTTCTATCACAGAATAAGAAGCAAGGGATTAGGAAAGTCACTGCACAGGAATGTAATTAAGCTGATACATGACAACATTTTTGGTTTTTGAATGAAAATTAAATATTTGCTCATAGTCGGACTTAAATTATGAAATTCAATTATAACTTTAAAGCAGCATTTTTAATTTTTTTTATTTTTGTAGAGATGATGTCTCACTATATTGCCTAAACGTGTCTTGAACTCCTGGGCTCAATTATTCCTTCCGCCTTGGCCTCCCAAAGTGGTGGGACAACAGGCTAAAGCAGTTTTTGAAAAGAAAAA